CAAAAGAATCAGAATCAGAAACAGATAAAAAAGGCAACACATTTTCATAGAATGTGACATACCTTGTAACAAATCTTTTATGAGTGTCAAGATAATAAACCTTAAATCCCTTTTGGCCAGCTGGATATCCAAGCAAAATGTACTTTAAGGAGCAATGTAACAGTTTGTGAAGGTTGATGGCAGTGTTGGCAGCATAGCACAAACAACCAAACACTTTGAGATGATCATAGGTGGACATGGTTTTATAAAGACGTTGGAAAGGTGTTTCCCAATTTAAAACCACAGAAGGGGCTCTATTGAGGATGTTTGTGGCATGAAAGAGGGCATCACCCCATAACTTAAGGGGTAGAGAAGCATGAAAGAGTAGAGATCGAGTTACTTGCAGCAAATGCTTGTGCTTGATTTATACTCTTCCATTTTGTTAGGGTGTGTGAGGACAGGAGTGCTGGTGCACAATACCATATTTAGAAAACAGAATTTTGAGTTCAAGAATTCAGAACCATTGTCAGATCTAATGGTTTTTATTTGACAGTTGAAATGATTTTTGACATATAGGACAAAGGACTCAATTATTTGATCAACATTCTGTTTATTGTGCAAAAGATAGGTCCATATGAATCTAGAGTAATCATCAACAATAGTAAGAAAGTAATAACATCCATTTAGGGTAGGAGTTTGATAAAGGCCCCAAGTATCCATTTGAATCAACTAAAAAATAGAGGTAGCACATGATGCACTTTTATTGAAGGAGTGTTTGGCTGTTTGGCCTTGTGGCAGGTGTCACATGGCTTGATATCACAGGAAGGAACAAATGGTAAGTGCTTTAATCTCTCAACTGAGATATGGCCAAGTTGATTGTGCAAAATTGCACAATCTTCTACAGCAGCAGCAACTGAGTGAGCCAAACCAAGAAGGATGTAGAGGTTTTGAGTTTGATATCCAGTAGCCAAAGTGATTTTAGATTTCCGGTCCTGCACAAGGCAAGTATATATAGAGAACACAAGAGTGTAATCAATATATTTTAAGAGATTACTCACAGATAAAAGGTTGAAAGTAAAATGTGGGACAAAATATATACAAGGGAAAACAATGGCAGAAGCAATGGTGACTGCTCCTTCAAACTCAGCTGTTAAGTGAGATCCATCAGGCAAGAATATTCTTGGTTTCGAATGGAGAGGTTTCAAAGTGGTGAACATGGTAGCATTCTTACAAATATGGCACGAAGCTCCACTGTCTATTAACCAAGAATTGTTATCATATCCATATAATTCACAAAGGAAAAGTTACCTGAATATTCTATGTTTGAGCTGCTCTATTGAGTTGTAATATCCCCAACACTTTGTTGCATCATTTTGTGAAGTTCAGCCGTTATAAGAGCTGCAAAGTCAGGAACACCAGTAGACTTCTTCTCAGAATTTCCATTTCCTAACTTGGTTCTCTCATTTGGTTCCTTTTGTTCTATGACTAGATTGTTGGTTGTAGCAACTCTCTTTTCTTTTAATTCATTGAACCAGTAAGGCACACCATGCAAAGAGAAGCATGTGTCTCTTCCATGTCCCTTTTTTCTTACAAAACTCACACACCATATTTCTTTTGTCTTGCTGCATCCTTTTCTTCTCAACCAAGAATTTAGAAGATTGGACATGGTTAGTGAAAGCCAATGCATTGTGCTCTGTGGTCATGTGAATTTCTTTTTGTTTCTCATATTGCACTACCATTGAATATGCCTTACTCATGTTGGGCAAGGGATCCATCGTCAAGATTTGGCCTCTTGCACTTTCAAAATTTTCATTCAATCTAGTAAGAAATTGGATTACCATGTCACGATCAGTTTTTCTTGCTAGTTTGTTTTGAATGCCGCAGGTGCATGACCCATGGTTGTCATCAAAGAAGGTAACATTGTATATTTCAGACACTATATCTAATTGCAGTTTCAATCTTGCAGCACACCCAATCCTTGTCTCATGTTTTGTCCTGCTTGTAATCTTCTTTTGAGAAATATTTAAATCTTCAGTTGATTTTTCATTTTTATCTGCAGCCATCTTACTTCCCAAACGGTGCCCTTCTTTATTGCAACAGTACTCCAAGTATTGGAGTTTTTCAGTTTTCTTCTTTATTTTTTTTTCTGCATCTTAATTCTCACACCGAAGCCTTTGTTATGTGCATAATCACAATAAAATTGATAAGCATCAACAGGTGTATTGAATTTCATATTTGTTATGTTTCCTATACCTGTAAATTTTTAGAGAGAAAACACAAAATTTCAAAGTGTTCAATATGAAAATTTCTTCTTAGAATTTCCTTTTATTCACATGGCAAATACATCATTTTAGTGTGCTAAGTACATTTTAAAATTCAGCACACGGTATGCTGCCAGACATCACACAATATTACTACAGACGTATTTATAATTATGAACGAACAATACTTGTATTTATTATACACAACATGTATTTCTTTTGAAAAAATGTCTCTTTTGTAATATTTCAACATTGTGTTATGTCCTAATTTATTGTAATCAATGTGATTTTTTAGCATATTGTGCATGCTCTTACAATTGATAGGTGTCCATCTGCTAAATATATTTTAGTGTGATTTTTCCTAATATATTATGTGCTATCTATGTTTTGTTACATGTAATTAAACTTGCACCATAATTTTAAGAGAATTTACAGTTGTCTATGTGCTAAATATGTTTCCTTAGTCTGCTAAGTACACTTTGATTGAGTTGTGTGCTATTTTAGTGTAATTAATGTGATTTTATAGGATGTAGCATGTGCTGTATTTATATGTTATGCTAAATATAATGAAAAAAAAATCCTCTTATGGTTCACAGTTGGCCGTGTGCTTAATAAGTATTTTTAGTGTGATTTTTTGTAGCATATGATGTGCTATGTATGTATTGTTACATGTAATTAATCTTGAAAATTATTTTTTTAGCTAATAATTCAAAAGGAAGAGAGTTTATAGGTTATAAGTTACACTCTCTCATGTGCTATTTATCTTACGTTAGTGTGACTATTTTCGGTATGATACGTGTTGTATATATATTATGTTAGATTCAGTAAAAATTACTTTTGTGATAAAATACAGTAGATCATGTGCTAAATGATTCTTTTTGTGTGCTTTTCATTAATATAGTATGTGCTATGTAATTATGATCTATCCAAGGTATATGATTTTTTGGAAACACATTGCGAAGAATTTAATTTGTATAGTTGAATTTTTTAGTACTTGATTCGTGATTTCTTACATCAGTATTGTCACAATGATCATTGTTGATGGATATTGATGTCTGCTATTTAATAATATCATGTTGTTCTTCAATGACGAAATCGACTTCTTGTATGGTAACAGTTTCTTCTCTTTCGGTCATTTATTTTTCCATGATCAAGTACGAACTCGTTTCTCTGTGCTCTTCCATAATATGATTGTGTTCCTGATTACACTTTCTCTTTCTTCGATTTGTAGTTGCTCTTGATTAATGTGTTGCTCTTCCATGAATCAAAGTCGAATCTGATCGAGAAAGGAATTTGAAAAATTAGGGAAGAAATCGGTTTAATTGAATGAATAGATTGTGTGTTGTTGTATATGAATTGAAAATTACTTTTTTACCCCTTCCAAAAATCATCACCGTTGGATTAAATCCCTAATCGGACATCCTAACCGTTCCCCTAAAGTTATTATCGTTTTTTCTTTAGTAAAAATTTTTTATTTACCATAAAAGAAAGTTTATATTTTTCTTGTACCCGATCAAATGGGCATAACTTTATATGACAGAGGACACGTGTCGGACAGGTCAGCGATACGTAGATTTTTATTTTAATTTTTTTAAAATTATTTTTTGAAAGTTTTAGTGTGTTTTGTAAACAAAATAACACAAATATTTTTTTTCAAAAATATTAATATATCACACACATTTATTATTTTTATATTCTACCTTACATAAAAAAATAAAATAAAATAAAATCCCTTCAAATTATTTTACAAAACAAACACACCATAAATTTTTACAAAAAAATAATAATAATAAAATAAAATTAATTAATTAATTTTTTTTTAAAATTTGAAACAAATTAAAAAAAATCCACAACACCTGGCGGAAAATATCTTTCGGCGAGCCAAACGGATGCCAAATAGGTGCCGGAGAACTAAAATACGAAAAAAAAAAAAAAAAAATCACTAATGTAACTAGTTTGCAATTAGCACGGTTCATGTACAATTTTACATCTTAAATGCCGGGCAACATTTTGAGGCTAGTTTTACTTTAATAGCATGTCATTTTTTATAATTTAAGAATATTATCACTTTTATTAAATTCAAACATAATAAATTTAAATGCAAAATCAAAGAACATTTGATTGTAACAATTGCGGCTTCTAGCTCATAAAATATATTATCTCTGTCCCATACTAAGGTTCCATTTATTTTTTGTGTGACAGATATTTGAGTATTAATTATTATATCAAAATTTAATATAAAGAAAAAAATTGCAATAATACTTTCATTAATGTCTTGTAATATTAGTTAAGTATAACGATGAAAAAGATAAATAAAACCTGAGGCGAACGGAGAGAGTATATATTATGATTTGTGAAAATTGGAGGAGTTGGTCTAGTATAAACAAAATAAACAAAATCTAGAAGTCCGGCTATACTGTGAGGCTTTTATTTCAAATTTCAATAAAAAAAAACACAATGTAACAGATCTTAAAGCCAAAAAAGTATAACATCATATATATTGCCTCGTGGCAGAGAAGCCAAGCCCAAGCCATTCAAATTCATCTAATACATTTAACGTCATTGTGTACTAAATTTATTTTGATTTTAAAAATGAAATGTGTCAGATGACACGTAATTTTCCTCAATGACTATTGCTCTAAGCTAACCAATTTCAAGGACATTGCTTTGTAACTTAGTCCAATTATATATAAACAGGGGCAAAATAACTGCATGATCTAAATGGCAACAAATAATTACCAACTTGATAAAAAATATAAGTTGAGGTGAAAATAATCGGGTGTGGTCAATCAATTAAGTACTGTATTCTTTCTTATATACAAATGCAACGACTATCCATCCTACTGAAACACAAACAAACAAACAAACAATATGTCCTACCATATATCCTTGCCCTTGCATGCTAATGCTAATGCTAATCTTTGGAATTCGACGAGCGTGTGGTGAAATTGGAAGGATCCATCCCCATGGACTTGTAGTATGATCTTTCGGCATTCTTCATTCGACTTCTGAACAATCCCCATTCTCTGTTGCACCTCTCTCTCACCTAACCAACGCACACAGGACAACAATGAACAAGTAATAAGCCAGCCAGCAATGACATATTTACGACCATGTTTTTAGACCAGAATGAGGCGCTTCCACTTGCAAGTAATAAGTAATAATGACGTACAAAGTATCGTAAGATTGGGGAACAGACAGACACGTACCCCTTGCCATGGAGCCTTTCCTTCTTCGGATTGTCCCTGTCATCACATTCGCATACAGGAAAATGAATAAATTACTTCAATCTGTGTCTTATCTGATGCAAACAAACTGTAATACCTGGTTTCCTAATGAAGGAACGCTTTGGTGAACAATCCACTGAGCATCTACAACTCCAATTTTTTCATGTGCAGGCTGAAAACACAAATCTTTACTTCATCAGAGAATATATATGTTATAGAATTGAATGCATTCACTCTTGCGGAACCGAGAAGTAGAGTGTATTTTGGAGTTATTGAGCGTGCTGACCTCAACGCATCTTTGGAGAGCCAAATCCAAACCCCATCCATGAACTAAATCATTCTACAAAGCATGTGCATATAAATTGCATATTTACGGTAAGACGATAAAATCTTCGAATAAGGAGGGCAGAAATTAATGTAGAATATTTATAGCATGGAAAAGGAAGATAGGAAAATGATAACTACCTGAATCATGTGCCACACGCACCGCCATGCTTCCCGAGAAAAGACCGGAGCCATAATTTCAACAAAACTGGGTAAAGTTTTCGATATTAAAGAAAACACAGAGATGCAAGTGGAGAGAAAAGAAACTTAAGAAAATTATACAGGAAAGGTCATACGCTGCACAGGGAGGCATATGGGGGTCATGGCACCAGCCAGGCTTCTCCTCTGTCTCCCTGTAATCACAGAGCGGTGCGGCATTTAAACTAAAGGACATCATTAAAAGGTATGAGATTAGAATACATGCAAGCAAGGAATGTTATTAAAATGCATTTCCCGACTTGTGAACTTCACGATCGAGTCTTCTTTTGGTCATTTGCCAAGTTGGAATCCTGGTGGCTTCAAGACCAGGCTGGGAAATTTCTAAACCATGCTTCTTCACCAGCTTAATATATCTGGAATTTGCAGAAACAGAGAACATTAGCATTGAGAAAGATGGACCAATCTTCCTCCTTTATGAAATGGACCTACTCTTCTGCATTAAAATGCTCGAGCCCAAGGTCTTCATCCCAAATGAAAATGTAGTCATATGGAGCAACAATGTCTGGATGCAGGAACCTTTTAGCAAACCACCTTGTATACGGATCTCAAAAAATTCAGATTCCAGAATTATTACGAAATAGATGACAAAAGAGTTCCATAATCATCTGAAGAATAGTGCAGTCTTACCATTTTGTCTGCTTTCTAGCGCTGACATGAATCGCTCTTTTTGACCACTCAAATTCATCCCATTCAGTTGTTCTCCCGTCATAATGAAATAAAAGGACAGTAAAATTTTCTGAAAACTGCAACAAAGCTTCATTTGTGAGCAAGGGTAGAGGGAGGGAGAATCGGATTAAGTGGAACCAGTGTTAAGGACACTGACCTTTTTTAGGGCGGCATCAATATTATTCCTTTGATCATAACCAACAGTAAAGGTCACCAAATAATTTGGCTTTCTCGCCAAGTCCTAAGAAATAATGGTTCAGTTAGAAATAATGAATTGTGCTGTGTTCTTCCAGCAGAGTGAAATCACTGCTTACAATCCTTTTCATGTACAAACAAGCTGTGGATCAGTTCTTATGCTCCTTAGCTTGCAGGGTTACAAAATATAACCCGACCTGGTTAATATTATCAGTACATTTTTTAGTTACTTTTACTTTTTATTATGCACGATATTTTCCAAGGTAAGGGAAGTGATCAAACCAGTGTCAGCCTCTTTAATTCATGTACATAGTGTTTATTTATTTTAAGTGATTATTGAACAATAACCTAAATTGAATATGGCCTTAAAATATTTACTTGTCTGGAGTAGCAGTCTAATTTAAGTGATCATGGTCATTGCACAAACTCAGTTTATCTGTAAAAACTAACATAACTTGAGTGTATCAGAGACGCATCATTCTAGGTGGTGCTGTTTTAAGAGAATGCAAGCCTTGCTGCTGGAATATATCATTAAAGAACCTTCAGTCTTTCAAACTAAATATCAAACGAAGACAAAATTTCCAACTCAGCCAATAGTATAAAGGTAGAAGAATAAAGAGGGCAGAGAGATTAAAGGCTGGTATAAGTGTGGAATTGCGCAAGGGGAATGGAATTCATGCCTTTGAGAAGGAAAATGAAGAAATAGAGATGTTTTTAAATAATTACTAGGCATATATGCACATGAGAAGACAAATGAAAGGTTGTGGAGGAGCTTTTGGGGGTCTGGAATACCATGTTTCGTTGTTTCCTATTCCTGGTGTTCTGAATGCTAAGCTTACTGTGATAAGCACAACAACCATTGTTATATGAAACTAGAAAATAATCATGATGCTTACCTCACTAGGTTTGCCCCAAAGTCTTCGGAGGTACAAATCTGATTCAGATGCAACAATGCCTGGAGGCAACCTTTCTGCACCTTTCGGATTCGAAGGGACCCATATCTGAATAGAAGACAAAAGACAACATAGATCAAAAATATATTATAGACAGAAACTCTCTCATGCATAACAATAGAGGAATATGATGGAAGCCCGATGAATGCATCAGTCTAGCTACAACATAAGCAAGAACTCTTTAGCTTGTACAATAGATAGATTAGACGCCACAAGGAATGACAGCCAATCAAGAAAAGCTTTTAACTAATTTAACATGCCTTTATTTTCCTTTCGACTTTGTTAATACCATTTCTGAATTAAAAATTACTAGTTTTACCAGCATCAAGAGGAAAAGTTGTTGAAGCTTATGATATGTTAAATAGGCTTAAGAAAACAAAAGCAATGAAAGCATGCAAACCTTTGATACATCCTTCCTGGGTTGAATTTTGATTGAGTTGCTCTTAGTTGTATCTGTGTTCCCAATTATTGAAAAATCATTAAGAATAGACGCTGTGATATTTAACTGTCATACAAGAAACTTGAATCAGTTATGGGAGATTAGAAATCATTAACCGGGTGGTGCAATATGCGCAACCACACTCATGTTATAACTTATAATCGACGGATAAACTTAGTACCTTTCTTAATGGAAGTGATGGAAATGAAACTCCTACTAAGAAGCCCGACACTAGTCCGAAAATAATAATGACAGAAATCCTCATCGGATCATTTGGGCTTGTAGACAATTTGCTGATGAGAATGGAACACAATGTCATATAATAGTGTCCTTGTAGGCAAACAAAACTGCAACGACATAGTCCAATTTTTATTGTTTGATAGAATCTCACATACCTGCGCACCATATTCCTGCTTCTAATTATAACGCCTTGGTTCGTGTCTCCCTTAAGCTCCTTAGATCCAATATGTGATGGCAGGCTACCTATGTCCAAAGGGAAACTTTTCACAATAGCACAACAACACAAACACAACGATTATTCACTACATAGACATCAGTGTGGCATAAAATCATTATAAAAACCAGTCTAAGTATTACACAGATATTATTAATATTTCAGAGAAAGTACTTCGACACACCAAAAATCCCAAGCAAACAACTTAAATAATGAACAAGTTGAGCTCACAAACCACAAGACACACAAACTAATCCTCCTTTCTCATTCTAACAGCATAAAACTATCAAAACAGAAACTTACATTCAGAGAGCACAAAGTTCAACTTCCCTTCCATCAGCTGAGAAAACCATTGGAATGCCTAAAACTATATTAACATGTCTACTTGATGAAACACATGGTCCACCAAAATATATATTTCAGAAAATTTACATCTTCTGTTCTTTATATCAAAATAAAACTAAAAAATTATATTGAAGTTATATCAGGCATTTCATCCCAAATACATTCAAAAACAAACAAAGAATCCACATCCATTCATTCCAATAGTGCAATCACTCGATCAAAACAAATAATGCAATCACTGGATACTCTCAATCAAATCAGCACCCAAATATTAGCTACACTCTAAGAGAACCGTGGATACGAACGTTGTCTACGCGTGATGATTTTCTACATTAATCTAAACTGATCACCCTTCAAGACCAAACATAAGCACAAACACATCAAAAACATACTCAACATTCAACACAGATTACTCAAAAGAATATCCTCCAAAGTAGTGCACATAGAAACACGTACCTCCCCTAAAATCAGAAAGAATCCCCTGCAATTCCTAGAACCAATCGGCAACACGAGATGATAACTACAAAAAAATAACAAAAATGCTTCCACAAACAAAATGAAACCGATTCAACACACTTCGGCCGGTCGACAAATCTTAATCCGCCATTAAATGCATGGATAGATGCAGCCAAAACACAGCGGCCACCGACCGCTCCTCTCCAGTGTTCAAACAAAAAAGAAAAAAAAGAATGGCGTAATAACAAGGTTGCAATCAATGAATGAGCAACAAGAGAAGGGAGAACTAGCAGGCAAAAGCGATCGAAGAACCAAATTTCTCCTCGTTTTCTTCTGCCTTCCCTTTCGACAGCGTTCGCCGTTGTTTCTCGTCTATTTCTGCACTTCCGCTAATGTTTATGGGCTTTGACTTTTGACCGCAGATTTTATTATTTTTTTCTTTTTTTTTTTTCAAAAATAAAAAATGACGGGGTTTTATTAAAAATCTCGTCCATAATATTAATTTATCGTTAGATAGAAAAAATATATATATTTAATTCCACCTTTATTAATAACGCCTCTTCCTCCCCATCCATGTATTTAAATAGTTATTAATTATTAATGAGATTAGTTCAATTTTAATATAAGTATAGTAATAGTGTATATTTAAATATAATTGATATAATAATATAACAAGTTATATATAATATTTATATCATAATAATTCTGTATTTCCAATATATTTTCATTTTTATAAATTTCATACTTATCATTAAAAAACATACACACACACCCTTTTAATATTGTTTCGATTATTGAAAATATTGTGTTTGTGAAATAATTTCATTTTTACCTAGGTTGCGTTTGTTTGAAAGACTTTGATGGACTATATTATTTATACAAAAATTTTCTCTCAGCATACCACTATTCAAATTCAAATTTTTTTATAATTCAAAATTCAACTCTCAAACATGCACACTATCATAGCGTTACTTATTTTATTATTATTGAGATGAGAGGCATATTAATAAAGAAATTTAAAGTTTGAATATGATATATTAATTTAATTTATTTGATTTGCGTTATCATTAATTTGATTTATCTCTATTAACACTAATCCCAGACGCCTTAGGTTACCTGTCATACATGATTCGCCCAGTGTGACTTGTCTATCGAACCTAGTTTGCAGTGTATTAGATTCGACCGGAAGTTTACTCAGTACACACTTTCGGATAACGATTGGAGGTTCCACTTTATAAAAAAAATAAAAAAGAAAAAAAAAAAATTGATAATTTTCTTATGCAATTCACATCATTAGCATTTGATTTTCTAGAATTCAAGGGCATGTTTCTTTTAGAAACTTATTTAAATTTTTTATTTAATTTGACTCCATAATAAATAAATAATATCTAAACTTTTAGATAAATCATAACTATTATGAATTTATATAAAAAAAATATATTTTTTTTTATATAAAAAAATATTATATTTAAATTTTTATTAAAAAATTAAAATAATTCAAACTCGAAATCGGAAAGAATACGATGTGTTTGTTTTAATTCCTAAATTATTTAGCAGATCGAGAAAGAATAGTATTTTTATTATTATTAATTATTAGATCCTTTCTTTCTTTCTTATTCTAATAATTTGAAAGATAGAAATAAAATAATTGGACGGAGCAAAATTGAAATTCAACCTATTTTTTATATTTTAAATTATCATGTTAAATTGAAATTTGACTAATTTTTCTTTTTTTAAAAAAAAAATTCAGAGTAAACTTGACTTCTTAAGAATCCGAAATACTCAGATACTAATTTGAAAATGTTTAATCGAGTAGATTCATATTTTTAGACAAAGTTCAATTTTGACACCCTTATTATTAATCCGTGATTAAGGCTAAGTAATTAGCACAATGCTTATTATTCATAACATCACATGAAGCATAGACGGATATCCATTACTTTAGTTTAAAGCCCTTAAATTAATTGAGCTGTTCGTAAACTCGGCTCTGACAAAATTTGATTAACGAGCGAACTCACATCTTGTTTACAAACTTTTATTGAAATAATATATTTATTATAAATATTATATATATGAAATTTATTTATTTATAAATAAATAAAATAAATCTAAATTTTATTTTATATATGAATTAATATATATATTAATTTTAAATAGTTCTCAATTTATATAATTTTAATTTCAAATTTAAATCCTAAATAATCCTAAATAAAATATCATATATATATATATATATATATAAATTAACATTAAAATAATAGTATAAGTAATCCTAATTCTTGTATTCCCCAATTCATAATTTACTTTAATTTATTCATTTTCCTCTCTCAAAAACAACACACGATCGCAACACCGCCGTTTCTTTCTCAACCTTGCCCTTACCGTGCGCTGCCCTCCACGACCACAAGCCACCGCTACGCGCCGTCCTCCTCGTGTCCTACTTTACTTATTTTTTTCACTGTTACTCCCACATATTTTGGGTTTCTTTGGAGGTAATTGACAGCCCAGCCCGATAAAGTAGATGAGCCGGTCCAAATAACCCTAATTCCACTCCAATTTATGTATGAATAAGGATAAATTTTTAATATGGATGAAGAAGATAACGGGGAAGTGAGTTAAGAAAGTTTCCTAAGCAAAAAATATGAAATTTGAAAAAATAATGGGACAAAAAGAAGGGAAGTGAAGAAAAATTAGAAACATATTGCCTAAAATAAAGGGAAATGTGGCACAATACTATAAAAGGGGCAATTAGGGAGAAAAGAGAAGAACCGCAACAACAAATTCAATCAACTTTATTCTCTTTTCTCTGCATATTTTCATTTTTTTTTTGCCTTATTTAATTTCTTGTTACTAAATCATATCAGATTTTTTTTTTTCCATTCGTTCAAGTTATCTTAATTCCTTTCATCAATATTTCTATGTTTTTCACTTCAGTCTACTACCTCAAATCCTACATTTTTTTTTTGTCGATTTATTTTTATTGTGAGACCTAGTCCGGATACTTTTTTGAGTAGGCCGGGGAACACGATTATTGTCAATTTCGACTGGCCTAGATTTATCGGGCCGTCATTGATGAATTTCAGCGATAACATATTGGCACGCCCAGTGGGACTCCGACGAGTCTCGCACTTTTTACGCAATTGAGGAATCGCAAATTACCATCGCCGAAGAAAACCACAATGTCGATTTCCAGAAAAATTACAGCACCGTATGTTTCCGGAGAAATCACACATAACGAATCCTCTGCAGCTCCGGGAGGTGTGGAAAGAATGGTGAGAATCCCGGCTAGCGTTTTAAAGAATCAAACCCGGGAAGAGATCCAAACGGCACTTCATGGGTCGGCTCCGGAGCTTTTCAGGTACATTACAGATTTATTAAAGTTCACTATCCGCGATGGATTTACATGGGTGAGGGAAGAAAGACCCACAAAGGAGAAGCTCCTACAACCAACACCGAACTTGCCGAAAATGATCATTTATCAAGCGCGGAACTGGGGGGCAACATCGGATCTCATTCGACAATGTTCTGGTACGTCAACGTGACTGTATTGACGCGAAGGACCAGCAACAATGGTACCCTTGATGAGTTCTTGGCTGAAGCAACGACGTCCTCCGGGCAGGCTATTACAGGGCAGCAGCCATTCCAGAGACCTCCGGGAAGCATTAGAGGTATACCACCAAGCTCTCAATGGTACAATAACCATTTAGTTGGTGGAACAGGTCCTCATATCTCGATTTCGGATTGCAATAATCAAGGAGTGACCATCGATGCTTGGGTGGCATGGTCGAACATGACCCCGACACCTCCAGCCGTTCCTACAACCTCCGAAATCACTTAGGGGGCAATCACACCACCTCCGCGGTACCCTGGGGACAGCCCCGCCTCCTCCGGGACCCTGGGGGTCAGCCCCTTCGGCCGTCGCAATGGCGTGGGATCAGACTTACCAACTTCATCGGCGCTGCCTCCGCATGGGTGACAAGGAGTATACCATAGGATAAATTTTCGTGAGGTGTCCGAGTAGGTCCAGGATTATGGATCTCCAAATCAGGGGGTTTCGGTACCATTCGAGAACTGTTCGGCTCCGGAGACGCCACGAATGACTTGGGGAGCAGCTCCAACTCCTCAGGAACCACCATCAACTCAACGAATGAGTCGAGAGGTACCTCTGACAGCAGATTCAGCGCCAACGGCGCCATGGACTACCTGGGAGGTGCATTTGGTGGTACTTCTAGCTCTAGACACTGCACGGAGGACAGGCCCGCCACCTCCAAGAGAGCTTCAAGTTCCAGATACTACCCAGATGACAACCCCTCTACCTCCGGCAGCACTTCCAGCTCCAGACACTGCCCCGATGACAACCCCGCCACCTCCGGGAGCACTTCCAGCTCTAGATACTGCCCGGAGGATAGCCCTGCCACCTCCGGCAGTACTTCTAGCTCCAAACGCTGCCCGAAAGACAACCCCGCCATCTTCGGGAACATTTCTAGCTCCGGATATTACCTGGAGGACAGCCCTGCCACCTCCGGCAGTACTTCCAGCTCCAAACGCTGCCCGAAGGACAGCCCCACCACCTTCAGGAACACTTCCAGCTCCGCACATTACCCGGAGGACAGCCCCGCCACCTCCGGTAGTACTTCCAGCTCCCAACGCTGCCCGGAAGACAGTCCCACGACCTTTGGGAGCACTTTCAGCTCCAGACATTACCCGGAGGACAGCTCTGTCACCTCCGGAAGCACATCCAGCCCCAGAAATTATCCGAAAAGCAGCCCCGACGATGACGCCACATCCTAAGGCGATAAGGGATATAGATCTGCCACCCTCGCTACCTTTGAAAGCGTCACTAGTGTCGGAAAGGGCCTGGAAAGATCCACCGACTCCGAGAGGGTCAACTCCGTCAAATCCGGACATAACAACCCCAAATCCGGGCAAACCAGCAAGGGTCAAAGGAAACCGGAAGAACCATCAATACATTTGTGAATATCCATTTTCAGAAAAATAGAAAGATATTGAGGGTGGTCTCGGCGGACCAAGTGGTGATAACCTTTCACCCAACGCGGCATTACGAGCAGTCCCCAAGGGATGAGCATCAGACATGCAACCGAAGGAAGAAGAAAACAAAAGCACAAAGATGAAGGAAGCGACGTTGGCGCTGGACAGCTAGTTCCAGTAAAAAAAAGATGAGGCAACAAGAAAATAAGCTCTGAGCAGGCCATACACAGACATGTGAAAATAAAATTGTGTTGGACAAGAGTGGTTTGCGACATCCGTGTCGGATCCGACAAGAGTGGAGTCCAAAACGGGTGATTCGAACAAAAAAGCTACCCCGGATAAACAACCTTCTCCGGATGATCCAAAAGCTCAATATATGGAGGATGAATCTATGAATAGGGCTCTCGAAAATGATACAATTTCAGAGGTCAGTCTCGATATCATAGCCAACGATCGAGACTTGGAGCGAGCCCTACAGTACAAAAACGACTTCAAGGTCGAGTTGGTTGGATTTTTGCCCAAAAAATCAAGAAGCTTTACTTCCAACCGCCATATTTTCCAATAAATCCGACCCTAAGATGACCCGGACCAGCCTCTGCCGCTGCCAGATAAGGCTATATGAAGCTCAGACCAAGGTACCGTCGAAATCTCATACGAAAATATTGGGCTTCAAAGTTTGGCAAACTTTTTGCCGAAATATTTTTTTTTTGGGGGGGGGGGAGTAGGGGGCATTTGTTAATCCCACATATTTTGGGCTTCCGGAGGTGATTGGCAGCCCAACCCGAAGGAGTAGATGAGCTGGCCCAAACAACCCTAATTTTACCCCAATTTATGTATGGATAATGATAAATTTTTAATATGGACGAGGGAAATAATAGGGAAGTGAGTTAAGGAGCTTTTCTAAGCAAAAAATAGGAAATTTGAGAAAATGGTGGGACAAAAAGAAGGGAAGTGGAGAAAGATTAGGAACATGTAGCCTAAAATAAAGGGAAGTGTGACACAAGGTTATAAAATGGGCAATTAGGGAGAAGAAGAGAAGACGAACCTACACGACAGCAAAAAATTCAATCCACTTTATTCTCTTTTCTCTGCATATTTTCATTAGTTTTGCCTTATTTAAATTCTTGTTATTAAATCATATTATTATTATTATTATTATTATTATTATTATTATTATTATTATTATTTTTCATCCGTTCAAGTCATCTTAATTCCTTTCGTCAATATTTCTACGCTTTTCACTTCGGTCTAGTACCTCAATTCCTATATATTTTTTCGTCGATTTATTTTTATTGCAAGACCTAGCCCGGATAATTTATTAAGTAGGCCGAGGAACCCAATTATTATCGATTTTGACTGGCCTAGATTTATCGGGTCGTCATCGAAGAATTTCAACAATAATACACACAAACAAGACACGATCGCAACGCCGCCGCTCTCACCCTCAGCCTCACCCCGACCGCACGCCGCTGCCTGCTCTCCTTGACCATGTGCCGTTGCTTTTCAATAAGTTTTTATTTTTGAGAGGATTCTTTCCAAAAAAAATTCATTTTTTTTTATTAAAGATACGTTCATTTTCAACAATGATTATTTAGGGTGTGTTTTCCGGAAGGGGTTTGGAGAATTTCATTGTGAAGTTATTGTGCATCGTGAAAACTGCGCGAAACCCTCCTGTCCTAACCGACAGCCGCTGACCTGCAGCAGATTTTTCATTTTTTTTTATAATTTTTCCTTTTATTTTATTTAAATTCAAAGTGTACGATAGCATGTGCACGGCCCCGCAGATATCCTTACAAAGCAATTATTTGATAATTATAATAATTATTGTTTAATAAAATATATGCAGTATGTATGTCATTTTAAAAAATAAAATTTTTATAATACAAATAAATAAAAATAAAAATATATATATGTATATATCATACTCATATCATACCATTATTAATTTTAAAAATTTATGTTTAATTGATAGCCATAAATCCCGCGTTAAATATTTATATTATTTGCGATATTTGGTTGATTTTGATTAGATTCTACCTAATTTAGGTATATATCATTTATTTATGATTTGCCGGAGAATATTAATAAAATTTATAGAATTAGCGGGAAAGGAGAAAAAAAGGCCCAAAGCCCAATTGTTAGAAAATTATGACAAATATAAAGGAAAGAAATATGGGGAGGCACCACTTTATGCCACTTGCTGAGGAGAACACAGTGCAGAAGAGTCTCAGAGAGAAACCGTACAAGGGCAAGAAGGAAAAAGATTCTTCCAAGAATATTTGGAGTTCTACCCCTACCAACATCATTCTCAGGAGATGTTTCTCTTTGCTTCATTTTTCTTTGTTCTTCCTCGTATGATTAGCGAGTAGTTTACTTTTCTAGTCTAAGAGTGGAAAACAACTTGGTGTGGATTTGGGAGATTAGATTTGTTTTGATTTATGAGATTTCTTTGGTTCCTAAGTATTTTTGTGGTTTCTGATTTCTTTGAGTTATAATCTTTTATTTGGTTGGATATTGTGGCAAGGTATTTCAATTGGATTAAGGATTAATTGCTAAACTAAATTAGGCATCCGTAATTGTGTTTTAATTTGGTTCAAGTAGCAACTAGTGACAGGCACCATTAGAAAATCACGGAATCAATTTTAAACAATTTTGCATAGTTAATTGTTAAATTGAATTAGGCTCTTCTACTTCGCAAGGCGGTTAGGCAAGTAAATTCTTTGTAGCGTCACTAGGGTTCTAGTCTAACTAGGGAAGCAGTTGACGGGCGTACCTAGACTGTCAAGAAATTAAGGAAGAGTTGGTTATTAGGCGCGTGTCGATAACTATAACTAATTTATTTAGAAACCAATAAAATTAAATAATTACCGATGATCAAATCCACTACCCAAGTTGTCAATTTCATTCATAGAATGGAAAGTTATTTTCATTGAATTTATCGTTTAGTCGTACAGTTTTTAGTTTTTAGTTTGTAATTTTATTTTTATTTCCTATTTCCAAAATCCCCCATTTTTATTATATTTATAAATAAAACAATAAAAAATAAAATCTTTTTAATTCCTTCAGGAATCGACCCTACTTCATCTATACTACGTTATTTTTATTGCAGAAGTAGGTTTATTCTATTTTAAATTTTGCAGCGTGTGACAAACGCCTGTCAAATTTTGGCGCCGTTGCCGGGGAATTCTAATTGGTTCAATTTATCTTTAGTTGTTTTATATTATTTTTAAAAATCTGACTTTTTCTGGTTTATGTCGAGATCTGATCACACATGAAACTTGATTTTCGACCCCGAAATTGAGAAGACTGCGCGTCGATTGAGAAAAGAAACTAGGAAGCATCGCCAAAAAAAATTTAGCTTTAGAATCATCTAGCGATTTTAATTCTGACGAGATCGAGCTAGAAGAAGAGATGGATCAAAGGACATTAAGGGCAGCCCCTAAATTGACCCAGCAACATCTCTGCAGCACATACCCGACGGTAGACGGTAACAATGCTTTTGAATTAAAATCAGGACTAATACACTTGTTGCCTTCTTTCCATGGGTTGTCATGAGAAGAGCCACATAAGCATCTTCAATAATTTGATGTCGTTTGCACAAGTATGAAGCCACAAGGGGTAATAGAAGATCAAATCAAGCTTCGTGCTTTTCCCTTCTCACTGAAAGATGCTGCAAAAGATTGACTATTCAATCTACCAGCCAGAAGCGTCACTACATGTACTGACATGAAGAGAAAGTTTCTCGAAAAGTACTTTCCCGCTTCACGAGCTGTGATCATGAGGAAAGAGATATGCGGAATGATATAACATACAAGGGAGTCTTTATTTGAATATTGAGACTGTTTTAATGCTTTACTTATTCGATGTCCCCATCATCAAATCCCCATACAATTACTGATTCAATATTTCTATGAAGGTTTGACTTCCATCGACAGGAGAATCATAGACGCAACAAGTGGAGGGGCCTTGATGAACAAAACTCCTAGAGAGGCATGAGACTTATTGAACAATATGGAGATGAACTTACAACAGTTCGGACTAAGAGAAGCAGTAGCAGTTAAAGAAGCAAGCGAGGTGAGTTCTATTAAAAAACAATTGACTGAACTAACTTCAATTGTTCGACAGATGGCTATAGGGAATGCAAAAGTTAAGGCATGTAGCATATGCCCTAGCCGGAACACCCTTCTGATGCCTATCCCACGATGACTCAAGGAGTGGATGTCAGTGCTGCAGGATTCATCCCAAGAGCATACAACCACTACTCGAATACCTACAATCTAGGATGAAAAGATCAGCTGAACTTAAAGTACGGAAATCAACAAGCTAACTTTGGAGATCATTCAAGAGGATTCCTAGCACCTAACCACCCTCCACAACCCCCTCAAACGGTTCCATGTAATTCCTTAGAGGATATGATGAAAACTATGGCGTTTAACATGTTGCAATTTCAACAGAAAAATCGGAATAACATAAGGAATTTGGAAGAACAAGTAAGTCAAATAGTGAATGAGATGTGCGAGATGAAGTCAAGAGAAAAAGGCAGATTGCCCTCACAGTCCGACGCCAATCCGAGGAATGTGAGCTCGATTGTTATAAAAAATGGAAAAGATTCGGAAGTATCAAAGATTTGAGTTCCAAAACACAAGAATGAGAAAGACATTGAGAAAGAAATAGAGCAAGCCACCATTGAAACATCGAACAAGGTAACTTTCGATAAACCTACTAATACTAAAACTAATGTTACACCGTTTCCTTGCAGGTTGGCGAAACCAAAGATGGACGACAAAAACAAAGAGATGATGGAGATGTTTCGAAAGGTGGAATTGAACGTACCTCTACTGGATGCAATCAAGCAAGTGCCGAAGTATGCAAAATTTTTTAAGGATCTTTGTGCGAACAAGAAGAGACTACGTGGAGAC